CCTGACAGAACCTGTCCCTGTCCCCTGGGTGTCACCCCTGACAGAACCTGTCCCTGTCTCCTGGGTTGCATGCTGTGCAGTTTCTTGTATTCACAGATAGACATTTAATTTCTGTTTAACCACGGTTAGTAGAAGCTAATTGGCATTGCATAAAAACATGCAAAAAAGACAAACACCCTGCCTGTGTATTCACAATATTCAGAAACCGACTGAGGAAAACGCATGTGTCTGTTTTGTCCAGTGAGTTTAGGGTCCAGGCAGATGTTCTGTGTTCAAAGGCTACACACAGATGCAATGACAAATTCAACAGACAATTTTAAACTGACAGAATGGTGACTGCTATGTCCTCATGACTTGAGTTTTACTCCCCCTTCCTTGCTAGGTGGTGTAGACGGGAGGGAGAGTGTGTTTGCAGATCTACACTTGGAAACCGACTGGAGAAGGATGCTGTCCCGCTCACCAGTGTCTGAGGAAACCTTGGGCCCCGTGGGGGATGCGCAGGGGATGCACTAGAGACTGCTAATGGGCGTCTTGGTGCTGTGTGCCAGGTGCCACAGCCGAAAGCGTGTTGAGGGAGAGTCTGGGGCGTGAAGGCCTCTCCCTGTGGAGCCCAAGGGCCCTCCAGGCTGGCACAGGGAAGGCCACCAAGGCAGAGAGAATGTGCACTCGGTTTTCATTCACAAAACCCAAAGATTTGCTGCAGCAATCAGGAATGCATTCTAACATTTTCATTAGAAGTGAAAGGAGCATTTCTTGTCATGGAGCTCCCCTCCAGGAGCCTGAGATGCGTGGTGCTGGCGCTCCGCAGGCAGGACCCGTGGACCTCACCACTCTGGGCTAGTAAGATGCCGACTGCGTAGACGAGGTGACCTGTATGTGGCAGAGGCCTCCTGTCTGTGAGGTTGGGTGGTCTGTAGCCCCCTGAGGATGGGCACTTGTGTTGTTTCTTTTGCTTGGATCCAATTTCCTAGTACGCTGCCCGGGCAGGCCAGCCCTGACTTGGTTTGGACTTTCGTTTGGGGGTCATTCTAGCCTGAGGACGACCTGCTGAACAGGAGACAGCGTCCCGGTGCTCTGGCACCTCTCCCTTCAGTGTCTTGTGTCCCCACAGACCACTGTGGGGTCCAGGAGAGCGTTGGTTCCTACTGTGCAGCCTGAGAAGCCTCAGACACCACTCTGGCCCGTCCCTCTGCCTTGGCCGGGTGCACTCAGCTCCAGGGCCGGGGTCCTGCTGGCATCGTGTCTGTTCCATGTGACTTGGCTGTGACTGTGGAGACTGGGTTGTGCACAGGCAGAAGAATGTGAGAAAAGCAGCCTCAGACCAAGGGACAGCCAGCCCACAGTGGTGCCGCGCTCTGACCAGGGAGTCTGGAGGGGACAGGAGCCCGAGAGGGTGTGAGGTGCTAGGGTCCTTCCAGCTCTTGAGCTGTTCGACCTGGCCAGGAGCCTGTTCATCGACCCTAATGACAGTCATCAACATCTTGAACACAAGGGCTTTTGGGATTATTGAACACTTTGCACGCTCAGAGTCGTTTTCAGACATTTCCCACATCTTACGTTTGCCTGTAGGTTTCATGCAGGGCCAGCTGGGCATAGCCAGGAGATGGGGCTGGGCTGGAGTCTTGCAGCCTGAGAGCCACTGTTCCTCGGTCTTCAACATCAGGCACCGTGAGCTTCAGAACCTCAGAAGGAAGGTGCCCACTGGGCCACCCCATCCTTGAGTTGAGGCCTCCCTTTTGAGGGGCCTGGCAAGACCCCCACCCTCAGGGGACCGTTCAGCAGGGAGCCCTGAGGCTCGGTCCCACACGGGTGGGTGGGCTGCTCCTGTGACCACGTGCTCTCGGGGCTCAGGGGAGGTGGGCGGCGTGTCTGTGTGCTGTGGCAGTGAGGGAGGGGCCTGCTGTCCACCTGCACCATAAGCCCATCCCTGGATGGCCATCTGCCCTGGGCAGAGCTGGATGGAGCCAAAGGGCTCCTGGGAGCATTTCCCCAAGGCTGCCGTGGCCTCTTTCTAGGACCAGCTCCAGAACCACATGGCCCAGCAGGTTACACTCAAGGCGATGGCTGTTCACGCCAAGGGACAGACAGCCGTGGGGGTCAACATGACAGCAGGTGGCCACACGGATCGGCATCCCCAGAACAGCAGCACGGGGTTCTTGTGCAGACGTGTGCAAGGACAGGCTGCCCTGCTGCGTGCTCGCAGTGTAGGTACGTGGGGGTCCTGGGCAGGCTGTGCCCACCGCCTCCTGTGCACTCCGTGGTGGTGGAGGACAAAGCCCCGGCAAACGCTGCAGGCCTGTTTGGCGTCCTGACTCCAAAGGGTCGGGAGAGGTTAGGAGAGCCATTTAGAGAGAGTTGAAACTGCACAGGCTGTGGCTGACAGGGGTTTGGGAGCAAAACGGGTGGCAGCATGGATGGACAAGCGGGAGGCCAGGCAGGGATGCCTGTCACGTGCTGGCGAGGCTCCTGCCTGGCAACGCGGGGACAGGACATCCTGGATCTTCCTGGACTCTGAGAACAGACGTGCAGTCACCATCTCAGGAAAGCAACCTAAAGACAGCTAACTTCATGCTCCAGGTCACTCTGGTTAGCCGGGAAGCTGCCCATTGTGTCCCCCAGCCTTCCTTTCACCTCAACTGTGTGTGTGAGTGTGTGTGTGTAGGAGCATGTATGCATGAGCATGTGCAAGCATGTGCATGTGCTTGTGGGACCTGCCCCCCACACACACACCTGGCCTCTAAGGCCCAGAGGACCCTGTGGTGTCTGCTGCAGGACAGGCCTCAGGGCCCACAGACAGGAGTCTGTTTGGAGCTCACTCGGTTTTATTTGTGCTGTTCGTTAGTTCCTTAGCTCCTGTTGCCCTCAAGGCCCCTGGAAAGTGTCTGCCAGTCAGGAGGTTGGTGTGGCCTCCTACAGGGTCTGTTTCCCAGAGTCCGCACAATGACCAGCTCCTTTAAAACGCCCCTTTCACCTGCAGACTAGGTAGCCAGTGTGGTGCGATCCCAGGAGACACTTTGGAAGCGGCGGAGGCAGGCGTGATAGGGAGGGTCATGGCCCAGTCCTGGGGTCTGAGAGGGGAGTGTCGGGTGCCCAGCAGGAGGGAGGCCTGGGTGTGGCCCCCACAGCTGCCCCAGGCCCCAGCAAGGCGCCCCTCTGGGTTCTGCCCAAGTGAGCACAGGAATGTCCACAGGAATGTAATGAAGTGACGGGATACAGTTCCTGCTCCCCGGACACCTGCAGCGTCGTGGGGCCCAGATCCACGGAGCTACTTGCCCCCATGCACCTTCTGGTCGTAGGTGCCCGCGTGCTTGTAGCCGGGCACATAGCCTGACTCGTCCACCAGGTCCACACGGCCGGCCTTGCCCTTGCCCTTGCCCGAGGAGTCGAAGCGCTCCTTATGGGAGCCTGTGAACTTGGTCGTGTCGGTGAGCCGCGACACAGTGGGCGACGAGATGGCCTTCTGCAAGAGGAGAGGGGTGGGAGGGAAGAGGTGAGCTGCGGGCCAGGTGAGGAGACGAGATGAAGGCTGGGCCTGACCTGGGCAGGTCTCCCAGAGGACAGGTCTCCTGGCAGACATGGCGCAGAACCGCTCAGGCCGAGCTGCAGATAGATGCGGGATAGCCAGGTGGCCCGGGGAAGCCCAGGGTCTGTAGCGCCGTGACACTGCCCCTTCTCCAAGTCCGCCTGGTCTTCATGCAGTTGTCCACCCTCTCGGAAAACCCACGCCAGCCCCCTCCCGAGGACCTGGGCTGTCAGGTTGCGGGTCCACATCTCTCCTCAGGTCCCGCCCGGCCCACCAGGCTCCGCCCAGGCCCGCCCCTCCTTCCAGGC